GAATGTATTTTCATCAAGCCATAATGTGAGAATAACTCCATGAACACTGTTTAGGCACTTGCTTTGAACAGGTTTAAGTGTCCTCAGGAATCAGATTGCAGCGTGGTATCCTTACCCTCAGTCTACATCTACGCCCTAGCCATGCACTTACGATACTAAAATTAGTGGGAATGGACATGAAAAATACTTTCCTCCTCCAGTATTTTTTTGTCAGTGAAAGGAGTATGCCTGGGCATCAGTTCTGATGCTTTGAGTCTATGAGCAGAACAGGACTTCTCTCAGCCACTGTGTCTTTGGTGGCAGCAGGCAAGCCGGACATAGAATTTAAGAAACTGAGGCCATACACTGCCTGTCCCTCTTGTGATACTAACCTTATCTGTCTAATGCTCCTTTGCAGGAAAGCTTGATGCTGCTGGGCAGCTGGACTGAGTGTGGCATGATCATATTTATGGAAGACTATGAGACATGCAGTCTGATTAGTGCTGAAAATACAAATTTTCTGAGCCACAGGAGTATGTTCAAAGAGATATATTTCCATTTTGGCCACATGAATTCACCTCTGAGATAAGTGCTGACACCAATTTTCTTAGTTTAAGTCAGAACAACCAAGACCTTCCGGGAGAGGAGCATGGTAGGTTGTCTGAAGGAAACTTGCTTTAAATTTTCTATGTTGGTTAGTGATTTTGAGTGCTATTCTGAAAGCTTTTTAATACAGTCTGATTATTAAAAATTTTTCTGCACCACCCCTCTGAAGACTGGACTTTTCTTAGAGCGAACAAATAAGCTCTGAACGTTCAGTACTTTTAATGTATTCTTGAATAGAGGAAAAGAAAGAAAATTCTGTCACACTGCATACATGTGTGAGGATGGGAGAGGGAAAAACATGTGACGGTTTGTTCCAGCTGCATTAATGTTGTATCCCATGACACATTCATAGGTATTAATTCCTTCCAGTAAAGCACATTCAGTTACTAATAGGAAGTGGAAACTTCAAGGTCTTAGTTTTTAGTATCCTTATCTTTTCTGCTAAGTTTAAATTCAAGAACCAAGGAGAATGCCAACATAATGATGCATTGTGAAACAGTAGGTTACTTGACCTCCCTCCTTTGAATTTAGCTCTTTTATGAGAGTTTCTTTGTCCCAGTTCTCTTAGAAAAACTAATTCCTGTTCCTATTGTTGTCAGTGCAAGCTTGTCAGTGACTTAATTTAGATGACAGTTTGGATACTGGTAATTTCTTTAAAATTTGAAAACTATCCAATTTGGTGAAATTTTGAACTCATATTTGGGATCCTTAGTTAAGGATATAATTTAGACATGAAAGTTTTAGGAAATCTATCTTTGAATTATTCTGTAACCTTCAAAATTATGAATGAGAGACCAATAAATGCTCACAGCTTTGGCTGTCTTCCCTTTCCCCTTTGCCACACATAGCCCCAGAAATACATTTTACACTCTGAAAATATCAGCTGTGCTCAGTGACTTGTGTGTTTGCCTAGAAGGTGAGCTGCAAAGGTAGGCTGAATTTTCTGATCCTGAGTAGTTTTGAGAAAAGATGATAAGAGAATAAACATTGTAACTGTAAGGAGTATCAGCCTGCTTTCAAGGTTTCCTGTTCTTCTACCCTATTGACTATGCTTCCTTGATTACTCCCCTTTGAAAACCTGAGATTGATGGGTGTACAAAGCTCACCTGTCCTATCTCTTTCTTCCCACTGGTCTTTATCATTTGGGGCAGTGCTGCCTATCGCAAGACAAATCTGGGTAGACTTGTCCTTTTTTTTGTCACTTGGCCAGATCTGTTGACGTGAGAAGTACTCATGACCACATATCAGTAAGGCCGTTGCCCAGCAGTAAAACAACAACAGAAGCAGCAGGAATCAATATGGGAATGGGTGCATGCCAACCCATGGTGCACATTAATGGTCCAGGATTTGTTGTTCAGCATCTTAGAGTAACTTATTCTTCCCTTTATCTCACTAGCCTGGCCCCCAGGCAGGATTTTTGCTGTTGCTAACAAAAAGCCTGGTCCCTAGCAGTGTTCCTCCCTCATACAGGAGATTCTCAACTTTCACATGCCACCGAGGACATCTATGTGTGGATCTTCCTCTACCCTGTTTTATACCACTCTGGTGTTATCTTTCTTCCTTCTTCTTTCCTCAGCTTCCTAATTGAACTGGTCTCCTCTCCAGTGCTTCTCTTGACTGTACAGAAGGAATGAGATCTTTGCCAGCCTTCACCCCGACCTTGGTTTGTAATCATCTTTTTCCCACTCTGCATTTCTCCAACAAAAATAACAAAATTGTCAAGACGCTAATTGAGTTTCTTTTCTTAGTCAGAAAAAGAGAAGAAATTCAACTTGAGGCTATCTTCAGGCCACTTGCATTAATAATATGTTTCTTGACACATCAGTGCTTTCTAATATTAATTAATGGGAAACAGAAATTCTATTCGTTTATTTTTCAGCATCCATACAGTTGCAGAGTTTATACCATTACACTTAGATGTGTTTTCTGTTATAGGCTTTCTCTTTCTTAATTTGGGACATTTTTTTATAAGGAGTAGCAAGTGCAACTGTGTCTTTGGATGTACTGTTCACTTTGTTTCTGCTCTGGGAAGAAACAGTAAAAATGTTTTTTTGGTGGTAACTTTCTATGCAAAACCACGTCAGTAGGTCTATTTGTCTAACGGAGATGAGTAGGACTTAACCTCAGATTAGCAGGGGAAATGAAAGTACAGTATATACAAAAAAAAAAAGATATTGCTGGCTTTCTGCTCAGACACTAATGCTAATTTTAGTAAGATCAAATGCATTAGTTTTGCAACCTATGTCCTACCACAGAGATGCACATCTACGTAAAATGTGACAAAAATCTTGCTTAAACCATTAAGCAGCCATATTGCAACAGGATGGGAATGCTGAGAGTCAGACAGTATGCGGGCAGACTGGAAAAAGGAGGGCAAGGTACAGAAACCACTAGAAATGCAGATAAATCAAACATGCAAGCAAATTTTCACGGTATATTGCTCATACTGTAGTTATCCAGTTGTGAAGTTAGTTAAGAAATAAATGTAACGTTCCATCTAATTGCAAGCAGCTGCCTATTAGGCAGCTTGGCCAAATGTTTTTAATTCTACCCTATGATGATGAAGGAAATGGGCAACTTTGGTCTGTACTGTGTGTGAACTTTCTGAACACTTCTTTGCAAAGTTACAAAGTGCGATGCAGAGCTGAGAAAAATCTTCTGAATTGACTGCAGGCTTTAGTGATGCAATCTCTTCCTACTTTTACCAGAATGCATTTGGAAAGCATGGACCTGCATAGGAGATCAAATTCCAGTTTTGTCAGCTTCACAAACTTATTTCATATGAGGCTAGAGACTGCCAGCGGTGAAAGTGGTTTGAGCAAAAATTGGATCAGCTCAATTATAATGGAATTTCAGGCTGAACTGGGAGAGGGAAGTTTGGAGGGTAGGCAAAGGGAAAGCTCTTGGGAACACTTGAAATAGTTGACACAGAAAATATTGCAATCTGGTGTATTTTAGAAGTGGTTTCCTGTAAATGTAAAGTCTGTTGTGAATTAAAAAAATAGAGAGTTTTCGGGAAGTTTTCATTTTTTTTTTGAAACCTAACTATCTAAATCTTTAGCACTGTAATTCTTTCCTACTACTCTGATTAGTTTTGCAAAACAGGTGTAGCCACTGAAAGTTTTTTACATGCAGTGTTTCAGTATGTCTTGATCTGAAGAATGAATGGTTGAGCACTAGGAAGAATCAAGTATGTTGAAGATGAGATGAAATACTTTCAATGTAAATTTTCTAGTGGTGTATTATCCTATATTCATTATTCTGTAATATGACAGTTGACTTTTGAGACAAAAGAAATACAACAGGTATTGTATTTCTGGACCTCAGCAAACCAGTTAGTTTGGCAGCACAGTTAAGACTGGAGAGATGAGGATACATACAAGAGCTGTATGTAATGAAAAGAGAAGGCAACCATGCCTGGTGTTGCAAATAAAATTGTATGTTTAGATGGCCACAGACAAGTATGGTTCCTTGAGGATTTGGTGCTGAGGGTTGATCTCATGTCAGACTCTCCCTAGAGGCTTGCAGGGGCATTTTTAATACCAAAGAGAACTGAAATGACACAGCAGTATTAGAATAATTGGGATGACCCTGAGAGTTGATGTAATAGAAATAGAAATTTAATAATATCATGTACACAGCCACCATACTGTTTAGAATTAATGCCAAGATTTTCTCTATATACTGAAAATGACCTCTAGGAAGAAGACGAGGGGAAGTGGCCTCAAGTTGGGCCAAGGTAGGTTTAGGTTGGACATTAGGAAACACTTCTTTACAGAAATTGTGGTTAAACACTGGAATAGGCTCCCCAGGGAGGAGGTTGAGTCCCTGTCCCTGGATGTGTTTAAGAGCCGTTTGGATGTGGTGCTCAGAGATATGATTTAGCAGAGGGTTGTTAGAGTTAGGGTACTATGGTTAGGCTGCGGTTGGACTTGATGATCCTTGGGGTCCCTTCCAATCTGAGTAATTCTATGATTCTATGAAATGGGTTAAGAGGAAAAATGCATAGTCATAGTAATGTCTTACAGGGTTACTGCTTACCCTAACCAACATGACACAGACTTAAAGACAACACCTAGCAGAGACAGAGAAGTATTATCATTCTACTACAAAATTTAGCCAGGCTTGTTCAGATTACTATGTACTATTTTGATCAGCCTGTATCAGGAAGGGGAGATTCAAAGGTGAGCAAGTACAAAGAAGTTGCAGAGAGAATTAGGGGAGAGAAAGACTGCCTTCCAGGAGGAAACTGGCAAAGCCTTCCTCTGTTAGATTAACAGAATGAAGGTCAAAAAGGCATATAACTATTCTCTTAAAATAAATCAGAGAAAAAAGAGTGGAGGGAGAAAAGAATCATATATTCAAAAGTCTAGTATTCACAGAAGAGCAAACAGATATAAACTAAATCTAATATTAGACAGGAGGCGAGAAGAAAAATTATTGACCATCAGAGAAGGGAAGCTGTGGAAATCCTTTGTGTGGGAAGACCAACAAAAAGTGAGTAATTTTTCAGCTGAATCTCAATTGCTTTATGTCGCCATTATATAACATTGCCAGTAATGCCTGGAGTTGATGAACTCATTGACTCAGGAAGTTCATGACGGTTCCTAATTAGCCTACTATTTTAGTTTCAGACTGTTGTAATCTCCAAACCTGAACGTAGCAAGTGAAGCATATGCTAAAGTTGGGCCTATTTATGCATGAGCTGTGCCTTATGACAGTTCTCAAAATAGACAGTCTGCTAGAATTTTTCTCTGGGATAAAATACTTCACTACCCACTTTTATCCACTAATATGATGTGTGCTGACCAAAACAACTGCACGTTTACATAGCAAATGTATCTTTTATTCAGCAGCCTTATGTTACATATGTTGGATGAAAGAGTCCGATAATGTAACACCTTGCAAAAGAAAAATCTCTATAGCAATTACTTTCAGTCTTTTCCAGTTTTTTTAAGTTGTTGCCACTATCATTTAATCTCTCTTTACACTCATGGTTCTCTTGAAAGATGCCACTGATTTCATCTCCCCTCCTTCTACTAAGCTCAGCATATTTCCTCAAGTAGAATATAATGAGAAGCCCATCCTAGACTCATCAAGTATTACATCTGCACCTGAAGTCCCAAAAATTTTAAGAGTCATCATTATGCATCAAAGGAAGGGCCTGACAATCACCACCAACTCATAAGGATTTGTACAGACATCTTGGCTACACTTGGAATTTACTACACCTTTCAAAGTGTGTAACTCACAGACATCTGAAAATTCACGTTTGCACTTCCACTATTGTTGCATAGCTGGTAAAAGACATTAGCTGATAGATTTATAGAAAATGGGCAGACAGATAACAAATTCATTAAGGTCTAGCCAGACCTCCCATAGTCCTTTCCATTCCACTGTTTCCAACATTTTAGATCTCAGACAGATGAGCAAGTCTGAATCTAATGGGAAGAAAAAAACAGTGAATACCATTATGCTCATTGTAAAATTCAATAGAGAATATGGCTACAATTAACTAAATATGTTTCAGATAATAACAAACTCACGAGAGCACATAGCAAATATTTTTGAACGTAGGCATATCTCAGTGCATGAGTAGCTGCACTGATTTTTCACAGTTCTGAGAAATATCTGTAGTTTCAATTGGTGCTTTATTTGGATCTAAGCAGATCTGAATAGCTCAGAAGCTTTGATGCTCACTAATTAGCAAGTGTATTCAGTAATTTTGATTTTAAGTCATTATCTAAAGAAAAAAGGCAGCTAAATAATTATTGGGAAAAAGCAAGAATCACAATAAATAAGAAACTGTAAAATAAATGATCTAAAAAGATATGTTTTATTCAAAGCCTGTCCCAATTCATCTCTGTGCCAAATAAATATTTGACATTTTTGCTCTTCACAACTTTTGTCGGTGTGTCTATATGATTGAGATTTTATGGCACTTCTGTGGTCCTCTTTAACCTGAAAGATGATTCTGAATCCTTCCCACGCATAGCTCTCTTAAATACTTTCTGATGCTTCCTACAGCACAAAATTCAAGCAGTTGTTGTATCTTCCTTCATCTCTCTCCTCGGTCACCATATCTACAATACAATCTGCAACAACAGACCACAGTCCATCAGGTGAATAATTGTGAGTACTCTTCTACTTCCCTACTTTTACTACTTTTTCTCTATTAAATGCAAACTAGAGTACTTCTATTTAAGAAATTGCACCACTTTATTCTATTTCTTTGTTTGGACAAGATAGTTAACTCTTCATATGTTCATTATCACTGTTACTTTTTAAAAAAATTGTTATTATTATGATTTACTGGAAATCTGTAAAGTGAATTATCTTTCTATATTTACCATCTACAAATATGCTGATTTCTCAGTTTGTCCTTTTGTTTTCCCTACATGTTTCTACAGAGATTATTGATGCTATTAAAATCTGCTGAGTTTTTTTGTCTTCTCAAACAGTAATGCTTGGTCGATGAAACACATACTTTTCTGGCAGTATGATCTTTAATCCTTCTGGTTTGATAAAAAGGATTGGTCTTAGTGTTTCAACAATTTATTGCCTGGAGAAGCAAATGTCTCTTCTGATGTCAACTTAAGGTTGTCATCACAGCCTCTGAAACAAACATGTGAGACTACTCATTCAAGTTTTTGTGTAATACTCACCAGAAGGCCCCATGGTAGGAAGAACCCTTCTTGACTAAGTGTTAGATCATATTCTTGGTCTGAAGCATAGGCGTGCTGAAGAAACAGAATGCTTAAAAGATGTTCTTCAAAACAGGATGGTAGACAGGAAGCAGAGATTTACTTTTTTTCCAAGGCAGAAAGTTATTATTTTCCAAAGAAGTAGTCAAACTAGATGACTTTGATACCTTTTTTTCATCTAGTTCCTAAACAGTTATGGGAGTACTATGGGTTGTACAAAACTTTTTGGTAGTACTATTCATGTTAGTTTCTTTGGAGGATTTTTTAAGCTCATTGTTTCTACTTTTTCTTGCCTAAAATGGTGTAAAACATAATAAAGTGAGTTAATTTTAAATGTATTTTCTGTCAGTTCCTTTCAGTAGGGAAGGGATGGGGCATTTTTAAGAGAAAACCATCCTTTATGTTGTTACTGTGCATTGATATTATAGTAGTGGTAATAATTCCCACTCAAGCTAGGAACCATTGTTCTAGTCACTTCACAGCCTTTGGGAAATACAGTCCCTGCTCCAGAGAACTAAAAGCAAAAATAGTTCAAATAAGTGAAATAACAAAGAAAGGGTCAGAAGAAAGGCTGGCAATAGCAGGAATACTTCTGCCTCTCCTACCTCTATGCACAGTTTGCAGATACCAAATGTTCTGTTTCCTTAATGGAGAAGAGTCAAATTTATACACATGAAGCAGAAAACACTTCTGGGGGTATATACATATTGTCAATGTGAGCCTCGTTTAAGTCAATTCAACAGGACAATTTTTTTTTTTTTCCCCTTAAAATATCTGAATTACATCAAAAGAAAATGAGTGAGTGAATTAATGTAGTGAGAGCATAGATGTATAGGGCTGAAAATGTATAGGTTTGGATTTTTTGTCTCTTTTCTTCACATCTCACTGTGGTAACATTCTTCCTCTCTTGTGTCAGCACTTTTGGTTTTCACTGTTTGTGAAAGTTCCTCATTTTACAAATGAGTACAGACTTTTTTCCCTTGTAAAATAATGCCTACGATGAGACCACTTTTTCAGGCATGAAGCAATCTGGTTTTGATTTTGAGAATGAAGGATTTTATTATCTGTTTAAAGAACATTCTGGTTGCTTACTTTTTCCTGATGCATCAATAATGCTAATAAAAATGAGCTGATAAAGGTTTGGCCTATGTCAGAGGAACAAAAAAAAGCATCTTACATGGATAGTTTGTATTCAGAAACACTTCTTTTTCTTCTCGCTTTAGAAAAAGCTTATTTCTTTTCATAACCTTTAAAGAAAAACCATGTTAAAAAATAAGTAACTTTTGTTTTCTTTTTTCTTTCAGGAGGAGTTACATTCATCAGAAGCACTGAGAGATAAACACTGTATCTCATCCCTTGACAGGAATCTTCAGATTTGCTTAACTTCATGCATCTGAGAATTCCCAGTTTATCTACAAAATATTTGAGAATGACTCCAGGCTGGCGAGTAGCGGAGGCTGAAGTTTATGATATTAATCTCCTTGCTTGTGTTTCTTCTTTTATGCACCTGCTATTTCATTACAAGCTCACTTCTGTAAAGAATGCTTCACATGTAGACCAGGTGTAGTGAAATGGGACCTTGACTGTCAACCACAGCATCAATTTTCTCCTCACTCAATAACAGGAGTAAAAATAGATATCAGTGAATGGATTTTTTTCCCTCAATGTAAGGCCTGTGTGCCTCTTAACAAAACATCTGTGAACTGAATTGTTAATGTGTACACTAAATGTGTTGATTAAATTTCCAGGATTTTCTCTGGTCAATTAGAAAGCGAGCCGTCATGCATTTTTCCCCTGAGCCACTGACATGCTATTGAAATTCTTAAGCTACTGATTATGCAGAACCAAACTCTACTTTTATTTAGACAGTTCTCAGTCATTCAAGTAACTCTTCTAAAGGTCATACATGCATCAAGCTTTCTTCCATTAGTTGAGAATGGTCATCAACTTCATCTAAACTACAGCAATGATTTTCTTCTTGACAAATATTTGGCTTTATTGCAACCTGAAAATCTCTGCATATTTTTCAGTCAATAAAGGAAGTTCCTTTCCGTGACAGATTTTGTTTTGTAGCTTTAACCTGCTCAGGTGCCAGGTCTCTGCACATCCTGGTCTCATTCTGTAGGCAGAAGCTTTCACTGACCCGTGGGAGTCCAAGGCACTCACGATGAAGGAAAATAATCTGAGTAACAGCCTACAAGGTCTTGAGTGTGAGAGACCAAAAACCCATTTGAAATAACTATGGAGATCCTAACCCTAATAGCTTTAACCCACTCTTTCAAAATGCTATGCTCCTCGGTGACTGACTGTGCTGTTCCTCGGTTCAAAGATGGCCGCCGGGTAGGCCTGACCATTGGTGGCTGACAGGTTGGCAAAAATGACTGGCCTTCAGCAGCTTAGCAGCCAGACTGCAAACCAGGCCCAGCATTTCTGGAGGAAAAGTGATGTGGCAGGGCACCATGACCCCTTCTCCATTTGGCAGTTTGTAAACAGCTGCATTGTAGAGACGACTAATCTTTTTAACACCAATGGGTCAGAAGCTGCTTGAGAACACTGGGTGGGCACCGGAGCTCCTAACCTTTGTAGCTTTCTTTTAGACAGGATGAATTCAACACACTGTAGAGGGAAAGAACATCATTTCCACAGAATAAATGAGATGTCTGAATCATAGGCAACTGCTCTGCTTGTCTTGCGGACTGCCAGTGTCCCAGCACACATAACTGGGAAAGATCCAGAAGGAATCAATTTCCACAATCCAGCGGTTGACATGTAGTGGAAAACATTTAAGGAGGGTAGAAAACAAATAAACAAACAAACGAAAGAATCAAGAGAAACTCTTCTTGTTTCTTATTGCCCAATAGTTTACTATGGTTATTGTTCAATTTTGGCCACAGACTTGTGACCTCTCCTATTTTATTTAGCACTTCTTTCAATTCCCTTTTTTAAAACAAAGCAAAACAAAACAACTCAAAGTGTTGCTAAAGCCATGTCAGACTTATTTACTGCTGTTTGAGTCTGTTGCATGGGCCGATGTTAGTATCAGTAACAGAGATGTGTGGGACACCTGCTCACACACACACAGTGTCAGATCTCTGGTGTTGTGCCTCAATCCAATTTTACTGTACTAACTGAAAAGTGAGGGTCTGAGTTAAAGGAATAATTAAGTTTGACAATTATCTGCGAAAACAGGCAGGCTTCCAGTCTCACAATAGCAATGCTTGAGGTTTTGAAGTGTTGCTAGTGTGAGGTGAAATTGTTTAAATATATATGTCCAGATATTATAGATATTCTAGTACACATATATACATATTCATAACTTAAAAAAATGCTTACACATCTACACTTGTATACATAAACCTATGTAACATATATGCATATAGAGCTGCAATCAACTTGAATACCTGGGCAAATACTTTCAGAACTTACTTAAATGGGTATAAGACAAAGTCCTCGCCTTTTCTTACTGTTTCACTGCTTGGGAGAGCAGCCCTAGAATGGATGCAGCCCACAGAAAGTGCATTCCTTTCAGGATGTAATGCCTAGTCTTGCAGGTATACTGTTTGCTGTCCTAAGTGCTCTGATGAGCTAACAGAGGCTCTGTTATTCAGCGGAAGCTCTGTTGTCTCTGATGTGAACAACCTGTCCACTCTGCAGAGGACCCATGTCCTGGAGTACTCCAGGCCAGAGGGTGCTGAGCTATCTTTCTCAAGGCAGCCCCACATCAGACATCTGCTTTCTCCCATAAAATGTGAGAAAAGCCCCAGCGGGGTAAAAATGACTTTTGTTGTCAAAGGAGAGAAGAAGCCAGTGAAGATGTAGCTTTGTTCAGAGCAGAGATGCCTGTGGACAAAACCCTCCCGGTTCATATTTCCTAGTCTCTGGGAGTATTAACAATCTGTAGGCAGGGACTCATCTGTGTGCCTGTGGCTGGGGTTGCCCACACGGCGTAGCTCTGTATGGGGCTTCAGGCCTGCGTACACGCCCCATTAGAGCCCTGTGGATGCTGGCATTTGCAGGGTTATGTGGCTTCTGGGTGGAGTTTTTCTGGATGACATCTTTGGAAGTGGGTGCCTCAAGTCATCTAAATCTTGCCTTAAGTCCCAGAGCCCCTTTATTTATTTAATTTTTTTTGTTCCTGACTCAATGTGTCTCAGAAGACTTCTGGTAACAACTTGCTTTTGGCTGGAGATAGCATGAGAAAATAACTCCCCCTGTGCTATTTTTTTTCTGGCTCTCTGTGTATGAATCCTGGACAGAATTAGATGCACCTCCCCTCCACCAAACTTAGAGTTTATTCCCAGTTGGGTCACTTTTCCTTTTACCTGGCATGCTGCCGATACCTTTTGCCTTCTGATGGCTTTGCTCACTGTCTGGATCCCGTGCAGCATGTCCCTGGCAGAGTCCCAGCAGAACAGGCTTGGATTTTACCTCTTGCATTGGCATTCATTCCAGTGGCTGATGGCCCATGGTGACAAGGTCCTATGTCACAGCAGCCAGAAGCAATCCGGGAAGGAGCCATCCCAGGTGCCAAAATGTATTGCTACAGCACTGTCAGTGAATGTGGGGATAAAGTCACAGTATTCACAGGAGTGCTTGCAGCTTTTGCTGGTGGCATAAGGGTCTGATCTCAACTACAATGAAGCAACTAGGCTAGATTTGGATCTGGATGACATTGACCACACTGAAGTTCCCTGTAAAAGTCTGCTTCTGTCACACTACTCCAGGGAATGAAGTTGTGTTGTACATAAAGGAAAAATGTTGTCCTGCTTCTTTAGCATCTTTCTACTTGTTTGCTTATTCTGGTTCTATGCATAATTCTTTTCACCAGTTAAAAATAAAACAGGCTTTTAAATTGATTTAATTAAAAAGATATAATCATCTGTGAAGACTCCTAAACTGAATCAAACCCACTTACGAAGAACAGAGCATCAGCATTGCTAAATTCATTCAGTATGGCTGTGTATAAGAGTGCTTTTTGAACTTACTGCTAATTGTGCCGTAAGTTTACAATTCTGTATGAATGTTCTGGCATTTCTGGCTGAAAGCTTCCTACATGTATATCTCCTGTAGATGCTATGGGAACTAACACCTAGCTTCTTTTAAGAATGACGTCAAGGAAAAATGACCAAAAATTTCATTTTGATGCACTTTTTCCCCCTTTGCTTGAAGGAAATACTAGTGCTTCTATGCATTGTTATTGGAATTAGAAATTTCTTAGGAGTGTGGTTTTTCCATTTCCCATGAAAAAAAAAAGGAATTTTTCATACATGCCAAAGCTGATTGTTAGAGTCTGGCAACAGCATTTTCTAAGAATTCTGATCATACATGGCCTCATTTACCCTTTCATAACTTCTCCTGTGATCAGACTCAGTTAAAGCTATCATACATCTGGGTTTTCCTGAAGACGTCCTCTTTTTATTCTTTTTTTTTTTTTTTTTTTTTCAGTCCCAGTGCATTGTCAGTGCAGATTTTTAGATGTTCATACACACACAGTACCCATATGGGCTGTGCATGTGCTGAAAGTCTGGTGTGTTCCAGAAATCCTTGAATTACTGCATGAAGTGATTGTCCGTGGTGTGAGGAGCAGAATCATGGCACTTGCTCAATGGATGCTGTTAAATACAAGGGCAAACTGGTCTGCCTGGGAAATCCTGAGCAAAATATAGAATTTTGTGGACTTCTGATTTGCACAAAGTGACCAAGTGAAGTATTTCATTTCTCACAACACAACTTTTTATTATAATTAAGCACAAAGTATTAACACAATTTATGTGTTTATTGAGAACATAAGCACATGTCTTTTCTTCTGGGTTACTGTTCCTGAATAGTGTGGTTGAAAGATGAATGGTACTCACAGTGTGTCTGTTGAGTATTTAAGATAATCATGGTAATGGTTTCAGTCTAGCACTAGCACAAATTAAAGCATTACCATGATAAATGAATAGTTGGTGAATAAAGTGTGATTTCCTCCCAGTAAGTCTGCTGTCTGTTGGTAGTAGAAAAGCTCTGAGCAAAGAAAATGCAATAAGTCTGAGACAAGATGGATGAAAGCATTATCTTAGATCTCAAAACAGGACGTTCATACCTAGGATGGCCTAAAAACTGAGCAAAACAAAGCAAACAAAAACCTAAAGCAACAAAAGAAAGCTATTTGATACCAATCGCCCTGAACAGAAACATCTGAAATTATTACTATATGTGTCATTTCACTCAGTTTTGGTTTGTTATCTCTGTGAGCACTAGCATGTCTAAAGACTTTATCTTCTGGGAAAATTTGTGGCCTGCTCTACACAGTATGTTAGTTACCAAGACATCAAGTCTCAGGCTTACACATTTGTGGCCTTATTTGTGGCTGTGATTTCCAATGTATTGTGTCCTACTACTGCATGGTCATTAAAAACAAAGGAGGCATTGAATCTGTGTATCATGCATTCCTTCAAAGCTAATGACTCTATCCTGGGAGACATGTCATCATGATGAGTGACCTTGCTGCCTGCCGGAGCAATGTCCTGGTGCCAGAAACCAGCCAGGGCAGGGAGCTGCATGGAGCTCTTGGCATATTCGCATAGTGCTGGAGGGTTAACACTGATGTTCAACATGAGTCAGCTTGGGTCTTAGACTACTCTGCCCTTATAGGCCAAGCCATGAAACTGGGAAATATAATCAGCTTTGCCAAGAACAAAGCAGGTTCAGTTCCTTTGAATAGCCACTGTCTCAGAGCATGGCATGAGACAGGGTTTTCTGTCTGTCCACCCATGCATTGTGCCACCCATCCTGGCTGCCCTCTGGGCTGGGTCTGTGGCAGGAACAGTATACCTCCATCAGACAATCCATCCTCAGGATCACCACGCTGCATCATGGCTGCTTTTGGCCTGTCATTTAGGAGAATTTTGAGGATAAGGGATTTTTCACAGTTTTCTTTCAAGGAATGTAGATGTGGTCTTCATCTCCAAAATACATTGAGATTAAATCCTCTAAACTCTGTACAGGTAAAATTGAA